CTCGATTGGCCGTGGCCATCTCCTGTCCTGTGCAAACTGACTAACTGACTGACTGACTGAACTGAACGGCGCAGCTTTTAAACAACGGGTGAATATAAGATTGTGGACCTCTACCTTCGTTGAAGATGCCACGGTAGTTTATAACATAGGACATGGGACGAAAATTTTGGCGAAGAATGAAGGAATCCGAAGAATGTCATCGAGTGGGTCAGAATGGGCGGCGGTACTCCTATCATAAGTGCCACCTTGAGCCCTAGAGAAAATAGTAAGGGTGGGTCGTCACCGAAGTCCTTAAATAGTAATGCATTAAACCCTGAAACTGTTCTAACAGCTGGAACTGCTGATAAACCAGTGGAGGAAAAAAAGAGGAGAAGAAACCCTAAGAAGCTATTATGTGCGCCTAAAACTAAGACACCAGGCCACGCGCATCCTCAGGACATATGAAACCAATCCCCAAAAATAGTGGCCTCCGAAATAGTGGCTCACCTCGTCGCATTAGAGCAGGTAAACAGGAGGTGAGAGGTTGAGATAACCCAACTCAAGAAGTCAAGTGACGTAGCACTTGGCAGGAATAGAAATGTGGTATCCCGGAGCCCACAATGAAAGAAGGCAGACAAAGGGACCGAGCAATGAGGTACCACATTGTTAACTTGTTAAGAATAGTGAAACTGCCAGGATAAATAGCCATTAAGAGAGTCCTGCGCCTGGGACGATGGACAGGGATGGGAACGGAGCAGGGTAAACCCCCCAGGCCTGTCCTTGTTGAATTCGCAAACCCCAGACATCGTGACTGGTTCTTTCAATCCTCTGGAAAGATAGGTCTTAGCACAAGAGGTCAGGTGACTATCCGGCTAGATGACGCGTCCCACGGTCCTTAAAAGGACTGAGAAATTACGCGGAGATACGATTATTCTTTCAAAATAGGAGAACCCCGATGGGATGTGTGCCTCCACGTGGAGCATCCTGGGTGCACTTCGTTGCTCCGTTGGACGTCTGTGGGGACTGGTCAGGTATCACAGGATGGAAAGGGCTTTTGCCAACCAAGCGTCCAGATTCTTGCTTCGTTAGGAAGGTTGCTTCTCCCAAAGCTTCAAGCTCGTTTCATTCGCTGTCTCGCAACTGTTTTCGGCAGGAAATGGTACCGGTACGATATCTGTAAATGAGATTAGTTGGGAAAACAAGAAGCATTTCATCCCTAAACAGCCTCAGACCCCGGTTTTATCCTACCTTTGGGTCAAAAACATCTCCAACTGCATCTTAAAGTCGACTGTGGTCGCACATACCATCAGGTGCGGTGGCAGTTTATTCCATCTATCAATCACTTTGTTCGTATAGACGATAAAACGCACACCGAGGCTAGGCCTTGGTTTTAAGAGCCTTAAGCTGTGCTCCCAACCCCACCCCCGGTGGCTTCTACCGTCCTTCGAGTGAACAAACTTTCAGTCAGTCGTTTCATTATCCCAAAAGGTTGCGTGCGTTGTGGGTTATTGTACTACTCGGTTGCTCGGTCCAGAGTGGGCATTTTCAAGAATGCACTATAGCCTTTTCGCAATCGAACGCGGACTGCAAGGCAGCAGTGATGTTCCAGATGAGCCGGTGACCAATCTTGTAACAACACGTTACACTTTAAAGGCACAAAAGGCATGCCAAACATGGTTACGCTGGCACTAAAGCTGTTCAGAAACGCTTGCGAATTTCCTGGGTCTTCACTTAGCAGCAAAATATCGTCTGCATACTTCAGATCAGACAGTCTACCATCTGGGACCAAATCGATTCCACTATCCTCGCACGAGGATAAGTTTGTTTCCATAATCAAGTCTATAACAAAGTTAAATAAAAAAGTTGAGAGAGGGCAAATCTAACGAACACCACTTTCCATGGTGAACTCGACCGAAAAAGACTCGACTTCAGCTATTAGTATAAGGGAATTGTAATATTGATGGAAACTTCTCGAGCACACCAGAGTTTGGAGCTGTTAACTGAGTCGAAAGCGGCTTTCAGATCGAAGAAAACAAACGATGGGTCTATGTCGGTCCTCCAGATTTTGGCGAAGAGTGCAGATGTGGTCTATTCAGCGTTCACCAGGTCTAAACCCAGCCTGGTTCCCACACATGCTCACTTCACGTGCGGCAGACAATCGACGGAGTATGATGCCAGCGAGAAGTCTAAAGATGATATTGATTAAACTAATTCCTCTGTGGTTTTCACTAGAATATCTGTCACCTTTCTTGTCAATCAGTAAGATGACCGATTCACACCATTCAGTTGGAACCTCTTCCCTCTCCCACATTGAGCCCAGGGGATTTATTAACTCCGAAACCAAGGCTGAACCTCCATCCTTAAAAACGGATGAGGACAGCCCATCTGGGCCGGACGCCTTATGCCTTTTGATGTAGCTTATTTCCCAGGAAACCTCCATTTCAGATGGAGCACTGGCATCAACAGGCAGTATTTGCCCCGTCGCGGTGGGAGGTGATAGGTCAGATGCCGATGGGATCCAGTTGAGATTAGCCTCGATCGGAAAGTTTCGCTTCTAAGGATGATTTACTACAGTCGCCGACATTGTATCGTGGGTTCCCGTTGTCGGTGGCTTTTTGCGGTTGTTTGCTAGGCATGAGGAGAATTTGACTCGTGAAAGGCATGGTCCATATCCGCAGCTGTTGACCAGTAAGAGTGAAAGTCTTGAATCGGCCTTCTCCAACCGTAACTGATGACAATGTCGCCGATTTAGGTCCAGCGCTATGAAAAGGTCGGCGGTTTCCATGTAACGCGGTTTCGTTTCTTGTGTGAGAAGTTGGTGCTTGACAGGAACAAGCCGTGGTCAGCGCAGAGTTGAAGTAGGCGATCTCCGTTGTCCGTCCAGTTGGCTGGGAGAGCATGTGGTCTACTAAGAAGCCTTTCTGATTCGTTCAGGTATTACACTTGAGCGATTACTACTACTTTCGTTGATCGAACACGAGTAATTAAGAGAGGTCCTTGTAGAGTTCATCAGGTGTACTGAAGTCGGTCGGTGCATACACCGATACGACGAATGGGCATCGACACTTCGTTCTGTAGCTGTTGAGGAATGTTGAACGGTTGAGACACACTGTAAAGTCGGCTACTGACTGGAATCCGGTCAAGAAGCGAGCGCTCAGTCTTGGCACTTAGCGCAATCCCGATATCAGCAACACTGCGAGCTTCGGATGCCGAGTCACCTGACGCACACAGGATGAAGCGTGACGCTGAGGTTGGATCAGGAGAGCGCAGGGAGATAATTGAAGTATGGTCTTGTATGCGTGTTTCGGAGACAGAATTATCATTATTATATTTCACACTTGTTTGAGGTCAGACTGTGTGCCAAGCAAATCATGGTACAATCATCTTTATAAAAAAGAAAAACTTTCCATAATTGGCTTGTCGGCTGAATACTGCCAGACTGTCAAGGCCAAGGCAGGTGAATTTTCTTGAGGAATACACAACCAGAGCCTTCAGCTAGCCAAAACCTGACCCGCAAGGCAACGGGGCGGTGTGAAAACCGCAGTTCATTGGGAGCCGGTGTCCAGTTTATTGGATCATACGTCCTTCGGACGGGGTCAAACGTCCAAGGTGCCCAATACACCTCAATGTTCAACTGAGCCGGTGACCACTGCCACAACCCGGAAGATGTGTGTGGTTCGTACGCCTCCTCTTGGTTGGTTTGTAATCAGGGTTTTTGGCCAACTCCCTTAGGTGAACTAACTGTGGTCCACCAACCCGGTTATAGCCTCGAGTCTCGGCTTTTCGACATAGAATATATCTAAATGGAAGGTTTCAAGGATTCTATCTAAGGCAGCTTGTTGACCAATGTGGTAGAGCTTGCGTAAATTTAACGCGGCCGAGTGGAAAGGGAATTTCAGCTTCAAATACCGTATAACTTCTGATTGTTTGGCCTTGCTGTTAAAACTCTGAGTGATATCCGATGGGTCTCGTAAATAGGAGGCATCTGAGATTATTCAGGATCAAAAAGAAACACTAGACCAATGGGAAAGAGGTTTTCCCAATTGGGTGCTTAAGACTTTATGACACGACATACTTTACGGCAGCCCACGCAGACGAGGTTTTTCTTGAGGAACCCTAACCGGAGCCTTCGACTCAAAAGTCTGACCCACAAGGCAGCGGGGCGTAGATTCAACGCGGGAGCGAGACCGAAGCACCCGTGTGGAAGCTCCTAGAAACCTGCCACGGATTAGTGTTTTGTTCGCTGGTGCGCTAATTGTCGGTCCGCTGTTCGGGATTGACCATTAGTTTCATGCACCCAATGAGACATACGGAACGTAGACCAGACAGCACCTTATTGGTTGGGGCTACCTGGCTTGGGCGGGCGGTGACCGTCCAATGAAGTACGAAAACTTCTCCCACCGTCGAGAGGATGCCCAAGGTACCCCACTCCCGTCCATCTAGTGGGGTTTTCTTAATCGGTCAACTGCCCCTTACCCTGTTTATTTGCTGGAGAAACCTCTCACGGGGAGAGCATGAATCGCCAAAAGAAGCCACTAGGTGCCCAAGCAGCCTTGTGATCTATATCCATTGAGCTTTTAGGCAGAATGGGATCTGCGGCTAAGAAACCATTCTGTATTGCTCGCAGTCAGACCATCACACCACGTCAAGGTGTAGTTCCATGGGGATAGATCTGCAGGATAGTGCACCACAATTTGCACCCAAGTGTTTTTCATTGTGTAATGCATTTTTCTGAACTTTTTCTCTGAACTTCTTTAAACACGTTTATCTTGTAGTTTGCTGCGTGATCGAACTGAATTTTCCATCTCCCTCACAATGAATGTGTTCACAATCGTCTACCTGGTAAGCGGGGCTTGATTATTGTTCTGAATTTGTACGAAGGTTTTTAGTTTGTATGCATGTGTTGATGCACGCCATACGTCGAACTGGGCCGTCTTAGTGGACACTTCGCGATTCTGGTTCAATTACCGGCATTTATCAAATGTACTAGCCTTGTACCGCCATGTCAAGCGGTTAGGCATACCAGACAGGTTTGTTGTGATCAATAATCGCTAAAATGTTCACTATGCAGTCGAATTATTCTCATGATCTCCGATGATGCTTGCTGTAATGCAAGAAATCCTCGTCCAGGTAATCTTTCAGGCATTATGGAAACGGTGTTTTATTTGATTAGGCAATATTTATAACAATCCTTACAATCGTGTGAATCTGTATGGTGAATCCATCGAGATCGACTATCGCGGTAATGAAGCTACAGTGGAAAACTTTATCCGTGTATTAACGGGTCGTTTGCCGCCTTCCACACCGTCATCAAAACGGTTAGATACGGATGAGTACAGCAACATTCTGATCTATATGACAGGTCATGGCGGTGATGGATTTCTGAAGTTCCAAGATGACAGTGAACTTACCAATAGTGAACTGGCGGATGCAATCGAGCAGATGTGGCAGAAAAAACGGTACGTACGGGTTACTAATCTCGTGTCAGTCATATCGCTTTGTTCACTTGCAGTGTGAATGTGGCAGACGAACCTGGGATGGCATTCATAAAGTTCATAGATGTTTTCTGGAAATCCCTGCTTATTTCTTCCTTTTATTCTGAGTAGACAAGAGGAGAAATTACAATTGTCAGCTTACAAGTATCCAGCTTCGAACATCCTGTAAATATTCTGTTTCGATGCTCAAGGTTCTCGCTTTTGCACGGTGATTTGAATCCCGAAAGTTAAAGCAGGTTATTTCGTTCAGGCTTTTGACGGTGAATTTCCAGTTCCCTTTAGTTAGAAACACCGAACGACAGTACTGCAATTTTGTCCAGAAATTGAGCAAAATAAGTGATTACAACAGAAATGTGAGGTCTTCTGTAGACTTTTGCTTGTGTATGTGTGTTTTGATTGCGTCACGGATGTATGTTCTCTGTAGGTAGATTAGATTTGTTTCGCATTGTCCACCTATTCTTGTTTTGAGATTTCTCATCTTTTGGAGGTCCTTCGTTTTGCCACGATCATACATTAATTTGATCATGAAAACCTTTTATTAGATAAGCTCACCTGATTGTGCGGTAAGTTCATCAGAAAAGAGTGCATTGCTCATGTAAATCGTCTTCTTCAACAATAAATTGTGTGATGCCTACTACAAAAGTACAAATATCAAAAAAATTTGATCTTACTGATTTATGTTTTTGTTCGTAAAGTGTTTTTGGTTACGGCAAGTGATATGTGATGTCTTTAGCAATCATGCCATTTTTTATCATTTCACCTCTAATCTCTTTCTCTATTCGGTAAAATGGCATAAACTTTAGAGTTAATCTTTTCAGTTTCTTACATAACGATTTTTTCCTAATAATCAATTGTATGGAGTTTTCTAGATGGAGTGGCCTAGCGCAAATGTGGACCTTTGTTGATCCGGTCTATCTAATTCTTGCTACATGAAAGTCAACGTTCATCAGAATCGAGTAATGGCATGCATACCTGTCATTAATGGACCGTACTCCCCAAACTCAGTGCTGTCAGGGAACCTGAGTCTTAAGAGAAACGACACCTAAATAAACCTGATCTGGGGTGCGGTGGGGCATCGGTTGTGATTGATAGATTACGTACCATGTCTCCCTTCCAAGTTGTCAACTGTAATGATTATCTCTGAGATTGACAATTGAACAAACGTGGATCAGTTATTCATGTTATCTCCGATGTGGCACCACAAACGCCTTCCTCTCAGCAGTTCCGGAATTGAAGTCCCGAATGAGTTTGTTGATATAAGCTCTGAGGCCTGGACAAGCCGGGGATGTTGTGTGAAGATCATTCAAATTCACTAACCTTTTTCAGGCCAAGCAAAATCCTACCGGTTCGCCAAGCATCTTCATCAAGTGTCTTTACTCCGGTTATCTTGTAGTGTAACGGGGATTTCGTGCGAATGGTGCCCCAACATCGCTTGGCTTTTTGTTCAAGGGTGCATCCCTAACGTTGACACAACGAAGGATGACCTACAAAACTATTATTTTGCAAAGATGCTGCTAGTTGTTGGATCAATATAATATCATTCACCCAGTTGCTGGAACTGTTTCACAAAGATAAGTGAAATAGTTACTTACCATGTTCCCAGGAACCCGGCCACCGTTCACTGGTTTAGCACGCGATTACCAGATTTAAGCCGTCGTCGGTTTCATGAAGATACAAGTGCTAGTTGAATGTCTACGGTGGACCAAAGAAAGAAGACCGTTCTTACGGGAACATGGAAGGTTCCCCAACAGTAATCTTCCGTGTGCACTAATTAGATAAGTTTATCGTTACTCTCCCGATCCGCACTTCTTTCGTTTAGGATTTGGAGATGTGACTGAAAGCATTCGGCTTTAGCATCTGTAACCACAACCTTAACTGCAGTTCTTGAACCAAGTCACTAGTTTTTTACTTTGACAAACTTTGCCGGTTGCACCTCTCCTCATGAGATATATTGTTATTTGTTAGGTCCTCTAAGATGTTTCTGTTTTCATACCTGTAACGATTTTGATCTTGTGGGTTTTCGTGGATTGTCATAATGTAATCTGTTTGCAGTGTTTGTTTTGCGTAGTTTCACTTTTGCGTATAAGGGAAACGATATTTCATCGATCGTGTGATGCAGTACTCTTGCTAGCAAATAACTGGCTCTATTTCTCGCTACGAAACTGTTCTGACGTGGTGTGGTGACTCGTTTGCTTTATCCATCGAACGATTCATGTGGAGTAGGACTTTCGATAAATTGAAACCAATGAATAGAGGTCGAACAAAGTCGGGCTTCAAAACGCTATATAATCATGTTCTAGGTCAACTACTCGTTCCAATAAAAGATATTTTGGTGAATTCATTCAAGGAAAAAGTTAACTGATGAGAGTATCGCTAAATAAACATAAGAGCATGTTATTTTGTGTCTCTATCGTAGTTTTCTAACGAACCCTGTGTCGATTGCTAAAATGGTTGAACGTCATAGTTACAAGAATCTTCCCATCACTTATGAGAACCGATAGTATGTGACAAATCGTTGACAATTTAACTGAGGTAGCCGGGTGATACTGGCTTTTCCTAGAAAAATGACCATTAGATGGTAGAGGCTCTTGCTCTTACTCTCTATCAAATTTTCGATTAGCTGCACTCCTTCACTCATGCAGAACGCTATCACGACTAAATAATTCTTCCCTTCAAAATCAAACTGATTTGGGTGGTGGTGATGCAATGGTTTAGTCGTTGTCACCGGCTTGCTTTGGACCGTATAATCCGAGGTTCGAGCCCCACCACCGCCACCCGACTTTGGTGGTAGGCAGCTCTGCTGTCGTCCGGTTCAATACCACGCTTAACCTATCGGAGCCTTATGTGGTTCGCCACTCCAAGTCCCAGGGCTTAGGTTGCTGGTTTCCACCACTGAACAGCAGGTCCTCGTGACTATGGAGTTCGCTCCGTCTGCTGTTCGTCACACGTAGGTATGTAATAAAAAAATTGTAATCAGGCTGTCTGATGGATCGTAAAAATCCAAATAATCCTGAATAATGGTATTAGTGCCGAAAAAGGTATGTTCAACAAGCCTTTTGGATCATTTGAAACCTCCTCCTATGAGGGCTATCTTTGGGTGGAATTATGACGGCTCAAGGTTGGAGGAAACCCCGCGGAGGTCAACAAGTGACGTGGAGATGATCCGTGAGGAAATGCAGAGCAATTAGGTAGAGTAGTTGTCTCCCGCCTTCCTGATTAAGGTTTGAACGGCTCTGCAATTGGTTGATTGGAGACACTGAGGTTATGGCAGCGAGCTGACGGCAGTGGCATTCTTGTTATTATTCCTTATCGGATCAGAATGCTTGAAAAGTTGTGTGCACAGTTAGGTTGTACCCTCTGTATATTGATCGTAGAAATTCACTTTGTTTGACTTCCTCGAATTAGGCCCAAACCCCTATCCATCTTGTTCTTTCTCACTTTGTGTACATTGTGAGCTAGGCAGCGATCAGCGAAATTCAGTTCACTGTATCTCATCATAGGATGGCTATGATGATGGTAAAAATTATTAACATTTGTAAACAAAACACCGTTCGTTTTTGTTGGGATTGCTGTGCGCGATTGTTTGCAGATATTTAGTCCTGTCGAGACACTCAACCCTTCTAATTTCTGCTTTCTTTTCGTTTGTTCACTGGCTTTGGTTACCCAGTAATGATAAAAATAGCAACCGATTTGTCATTCCTTTCAGATATCACGAAATTCTTTTCATCGCCGAGACTTGTCAAGCCGAATCAATGGGTCAGCTGATTTACTCGCCCAGTGTGGTCACTGTTGGAAGCAGTGCTGTCGGTGAGGATTCTTTGTCTGTAAGTCACTTTCTCACTAAGTAAAACTTGTTGCACCTAGTTAGTTACTGAATATCTCATTTTATTATTTACATTTCTTTCCGGAAAGATTTCAGACATTCACAGGAATTTATGGAAGTGTTGGGATGTGCCAAGGTATGATGGGAATAGATGAGGAGTCTTGCATACACGGATGTCTTAGTTTAACTCTCATATAGCCTATACACACGATCAGCAGCAGCTTACTGCTCCGTTCAAACTGTTGAGTGGTACTTGGATTTTACAAAACAGCTAAGTAGATGGTGCCAAGTTGCATGTGGTGCTTAACCGCTTCCGTGAATTGTGATAATGCGCCATTTCACGTTCGGTCGCTCATTTCATAGGATCTATCACATCTTTCTCAGATAAGCATATCCGTAGTTACAACACAATATATATATATATATATGACCGGTTGCAGATGGGGTTTTACGGCTGAAAATAGATAGCAATTAAAGTGTCCAACAATTTACATTATAATTGCTCTTCACTCTGTGAATGTGGGTGACCTAAATTCGTGGTCAAACGAAAACCTGACATGAGGGTATGAAAACCCTAATCAGGAGACTAGGTCACATAGGCCCCGTTAGACTCCCTGGCTGGGGACCTCGGGGTGATGGTCACCGATGGTTAGAGAGACTGAGTAATATGGCTGGGTGTCGCAAACAGTGGCACTTGTGTATCCACTCATTATTCCCCTAATACCATTCTATATGAATTCTCCATCTTCCCCTTGAATTTGCGTTCGTCATTCCAATCTTCATCCTGCTCTTTTATCCAAATGGAACACCAAAAGACAGCGATCAGAACCGGCGCACGAAAGTGCATGGTTGATGGTTGTAAAAACTGAACTGAATTGAAATTCGTTAATACTCAATTATTATTTGTTCCCATATTTCATGTCGAGTTACTTGCTGGTAATCCGGTGATGGGAGCTTGAGCGCTTGCACAAATCGCATTTGAGCACACGGGGTGAGTGGCTAGAATACAAAATCACAGGTGTCTAGACCATCCCGTTTTAACTCTATCGGAACGCTTCCGTCACGGTTACGATGGGATTGGTGTCAACAAGGTGCTACATAACCGCACTTGTTTTCCACCGTGTTTTCATCAAATGTTCTCTGGGACTGTGTAAACATGTGCGTAGTTTTATAAAATCCACAAAAAAGTAAACTGTCAAACAGAAAAAGTATCCTGGAATTTATCTGTACACAATGTGTCTGAGACCGGATGAAATCAATTTTTCCCGGTGACACTGCCATGGATTGTATAAAATCCCGTTGAAGTAACTTGCGAATGGCCCCAATAGGTAAATCATTCAGCATGCCACTGTCATTCTGCAGAAATAAATCGTCTCCTAATTCACGTAACATTCTGCTCTTTGTAGTTTCGCAACCAACCAAAAACTGAGGACATGAATTCAAATTTGAAATAAAATGATTGAATGAAACCGAAATAAAAAGTGAATGCACTAATACGCTCAATGGTTGTGATTAACTTGATGCTTGCGTTTGTTTCGTGCACAACAGATGTACATTTACTTCGCCGAAATTGTTGGACTATCAGTCCGAATATTGTTTTCATGGAACTTGAAAAAGTGGAGGAAAAGAGGTTAACAGTGATTATTTATCCTCGGAATAAACGGTTTCACTGCAAAACATATCACGGGGAAAAATACGTTTCCAAAGACACTTCTCTTCTGTTTGTCGCTTCAGGTGTTTACAGGCATCTGATTGGTCGATTATAGTTCAGTTTATATGGATGATGAATGTGAGCAAACGATTGTGGAACGACTAGCGTTAGATTGTACGGTTCGGATAACTTGAACAAGGATGGATGCTGTAATCTTATGTCTGGAATCCCAGTTTCATCCGGACTGCGTGAATGGGGGTAACCATAAGAAGAAAGAAGAAATTTTACAAATTGGACTATTTTATCTCTCTTGTTGAACAAATCTCAAT